CAATAGCCAGAATTTTATAGTTTCTTTAGGTGTGAAAAACATTTTGAGATATTGCAAAAAGGATGCTACATAGTAGTCTTGAAGATAATATAGATTGTAGTTGTCACTTATGCTTAAGTCATCTTCCTTTGCACATGGCACAGAGGATCGCAATGCCTGATATCAGAAATCATGTATGGTTTTGAAAAATCTTCCAGCGGACTTAATAGACGATAAGATGATTAGTGACCAGTTTGAAGAACCCGATCAACCAATGCAGAGCATTGATACGATCATGCAAATAATCTCAGAGGCAACAGTACCACCAATTGGCTTGTATAACTTGGAAATGATGGACGATGACATGGATGACTTGGATTCAGAGCCTGATCTTGATATTGATAGCAGCGGGGAGATCATATATGCAATGTGAGTGCATGCCATGCTTGTGAAAAGGAAGTTGTATCTGCAATCTTACGAGAACATTTGTGGACTTGTTGATGTGCAAAGCTTAGGAGATTGTTGAATGCTCAGTAACAAGAACATGGGGGTATTTACAATGTTTGTAATTAGTCAAGTTCTTATCCTGGAAGGGGCTTTTAATCTGCCCATGAATTATTTCTTCTATCACCATAGGAGGAATTGGCTGAAAAAGTAATGGAGTTTCCATACTTGAGTTCATAATCTTTTTATAATGTCATACAGTTTTGTTATGTTGTAATTCTTGTACTTTCCTTATATGCATTTGTGTCAAACAAATCATGTGCTCTTTCTGGTTTTTGTAAGTTAAGATGCTTATAGTATTAGGGCTTGTGTATGACTATGTTTGTTAGCACAAATTTCCTCTGTATAGTTCTAACTAATCCTTCTGGTTGATTTTATATTTCCTTAGTAGTAAAGTGCGTTTCCCCTATAATGGTCAAGTGACATCGAAAGTTTTAAGACAGCTTTTATCGTAAGGTTGTACCATGAGGTGTGTTGGTACAAGAAATTATTGGAGGAGCAGAAAGAACCAGGACTTGATCTTTCTCCTGAAGCAGCTTCAATTTCTGTTTCAATTCATGAAGTGGGACTTCAAATCCAACCATAGAATCAGAAACTTGAGGCATATTAGACAATCCTGAAAACCCAAGACTAGAACCATTCATCCACCCTGAAGAACCACTAGAATTTGTAAATACAATACTACTCCCGGATCTCGTCAATGAAACATTCCTCAACATCGAGTGGATCTCCTCCAATATGTTGCGATTTTCAATAACATTAACCCGAGTCGATTTACTATCCCTAAGCAGCTGAAATATACCGTCTATCTGGCAGACCTTCATTAGTGAATTTTCCAACTTCGTTAGTTTTCTGGAGTAATTCCACTTCAAAGGGTCGTAGCTTTTAATCTTGGAACACTTGAGGACTAGGTCTTCACCTTTCATCAACTGCTTCTTAAACATGTCTATTTCTTCATCTCGGCCGTCTAGGGCCTTGCTTAGCCTCTCAATGTCATCGAATACTGGTTTGATGTAGATTAATGTCTGTTTCAAGCTTAGGAATTCGGAACGGAAAGTGGCAATGTTTACGCCAAAATCAACAACTACTTTGAGAAGTCGGTCGAATACTGGACCCAAAGCAGCTCCTCCCAAGAGAGCTGCTGCCATTGCTACGTAACACTGCAAAATGGATTATTTTGGGGAAGGTCTAGGTGAAGCGAGTGAAGTATAGCAGTAGGTCGTCTTGTAGATATTAAGGCATTCATTGGTGAGAATGATTTTGGAAAAGAGATGGCAATTGGTCGGAAGTTTCCGACTCAATTGACTTTTGAGGTCGTCGAGTACAAATCTTCCTTCTTTTTCCATTTGCTCCCTTGAGTTTCTTCGATGTGTACATGATACTCCATCCATTTCAATTTAGCTATTTTTACTTTACTTCTTAAATTTTTTCAAAAAAATATCCATTTTTATATTTAATAAATTGAAAAGAAAAAATAAATTGGAAGTGATGAAATAATGAATAACCTCAGAATTGGAGTATAAGAATTTGTACCAAACCACTTAATTTTTTTCCCCTAAAGCATAAGGGACCAAAAGCAATTTAAACAATTAAACCAATATAGAAAGTGATTTGACACGTTATTCAACACTCCCTCTATTCTATGTTAAGTAAATTGGCACGGCAATACACCCCTATTAAGAAAATTATTCAAAACATAACTTAAATCAAATTTTTTGCTAATGTCCTTTTATTAAATTATTATTATTATAAATATAAGTGGTAAATAATATAATTTATCTCCTAAAAAGTATAAAACTTAATTAATAAAAAAGGGCAAATATGAAACTTATTTTGAACAATAATAAAAATATCAAAAATTTACTTAATACAAAATAGAGAAAAAACTAAGATTTACGCAATATCCGATTAGATTAACTCTGATTATTGGCAACAATGTGGAAGAGCTACCATTGCGTCACGAATCCACCATGTAGACAATTGTTTATTATTACACTTACCACAAAGTGGAGGATTATACTGGTGTAGTATCAAATTTACTTGTGCAAATTCTACTATGTATATTAGAAGAGTGGGTATAATTTGAGGTATCAACATGTTTGCTTGTGGTCTTTTTTTTATTAGCTGAGGGTATTGTGGTAAATTCAACCTGTTGTCCCACCTTCTACTTACTCCACGTGGTTGTGTGTCCTTGGGTTTGTTGTGCGTCGCTCCATGTCTGCTTTCCACAAATCTTTATCTATTTCTCTTCAATCTTTTCAAGTACTCTTCAATTTCAAGGTAATTTTTTCTTCTTTCCCTGCCTTCCTCTCCATTTTTTTTTAATCTGATTTCTTGTGATAAGTTTTTTTCCTACACATGTTTTCCTCTACAGAGCTTCATCACATTTGGCTGAACCGATTTATAAAGCTTTGGTTTTAGATTTAGTTTTATAGGGTGATGAAGTTTGAATTTGAGAAGACGCAATAAAAAACAAAACGAACTAATCTTCAATGTTGTGACACAACCCCCAACTAATTAGAGTTCTGCCAGTTAAGTGTTTTCCTAAAAATAACTTATATGTAGATTGTTAAGTAGAAATTGTCCAAAGCGGTGGTCCACATAGTAACCTTTGTATTTAACGATATTGTTAGGAGCTCTGTGTTTTGAAGACTGTCAAAGTGCATAGAACAGGTTGTGATAATATGATACAACGTTCATCTAATGTGCATACGAGAAGGAGTTCGCAAGCGAGATAGTTTTCTTAATCAAATATGAAAACTAGACAAAGTAGGAAGCAGAAGTAAAGAAGGAGTTAGAGGCGTGAATAAAGAATACACAAAGGAAATAAAGACAAAACAAAGTAGGAAGTCGAGTTTGAGTTGAACAAGGCTTTAAAGCGGCGTATACAAGTTCGACTTGAACAAGGCCTGTGGAAGCGGTGATTTATAAATAGGGCAATAGTTTCTTTGGAGAAACTGGTGCAATAATATTGAGAGTAAATCAAAAACACTGTTAAAGAGAGTTTGAAAGAGTTTTTGAAGGTTCTTGTGGTGCTGCGAAGTTGTGAGGTTTTTGTTAATTGTCGTTAACTGTTATTTACTGCAAATTGAGTTTTGAGCGTAGAAAGAGTCTAACGAGTTGTTATAACTTGGAAGACTTTGTAGAAGACACAAATCGGGGGGTTTTTGTCTTGTGTAGTTAGGAGTTAGAGTTTATAACTCTTTATGTTACATAGTTGTGTAATCATTTTATTATTTGAAGGTGCAATAAATAATACAAAGTTTTGAAAGAGTTATCTTACGAAATTGTTTACTGCTAACTTCAGATAGTGAGAAACAAGTAGTAAGTACATGTTTATTTATAGAGTTAAGGAGGTCGTAATTCCAACAAGTGATATCAAAGCAAGACCATCTTAATATAAGTCTAATAACTTAAGATAAGATCATCATGAATTCTGCACCTCCTCTTGGACATGGTCAGAGACGGCACATCAATAGGCCACCATTATTCAATGAACAATACTGCTCATGGTGGAAGACAAGGATGGAAGACTTCATTCAAGCCGAAGACTACGAACTATGGGTTAGAATCACTGATGGACCATTAACTCATACTGTTACGGATAGTGAAGAAAACACTGTACCAAAACCCAAAGAAAAATACGGAGAAGCTGACTACAAGATGCTAGGAAAGAATGTAAAAGCCAAGTGCATTATTGTATGTGAACTAGGACCTGATGAGTTTAATCGCATCTCAAGTTGTACTTCCGTGAAACAAATATGGGACACCTTACAGAACTCTCATGAAGGTACAACTCAAGTTCGAAAATTTAGAATTGCCAGGCTATGCACTGAATATGAAGCCTTCAAGATGAAATCTGGAGAATCACTTCAAGATATGATCACCAAATTCACTACTGTGGTAAACAAGTTAATCTACTTGGGGAAAATTTACACCACTGAAGAACAGGTAGAAAAAGTGCTTAGAACCTTGCCTAGATCATGGGAAATAAAAGTTACTGTAATCAGAGAAGCCAAGCATTTAACAAATATGACTATGGATGAACTGGTAGGAAATCTCAAAACATATGAGATGAATGTTGATAAAAGAGGTGAAGGAAACAAAGAGAAAAATCTTGGACTCAAAGCAATTGAAAGTGATGAATCAGATATAGATGATGAAGATTTAGCACTGATCAACAGAAACTTCAAGAAACTTTTCAAAAGGGGAATGAATTCTGGCAAAAAGTCACCACCCTCCAAAGAAAAGACTACAGAGAAACCACAAAGTAGAGGATGCTTTAAGTGTGGTAAAACTGATCATCAGATTAAGAACTGTCCTATGTGGGAAGTAGAATGGAGAAAGGAAAAGGTAGAAAAAGAGAAGAAGGAACTTTTAAGCAAAAGAAAAAATAAAGAGAAAGAACAAGCGATGTATGCAGGTTAGGGAACAAGTTCAGACATGTATGAAGAAGATGCTGTGACATTGCCTTGATGGCCATAGAAGAATCAGAACCTGAACCTGAACCTGAATCAAACTATGAAGGAATGGAGGTAAATCTCTTTGATCTTAAAGATAAGCTAATAAAATTCTCTAAGAAAAATTATCTTTTTAACGCTCACATCTATAGAAACAATTCAAGAACTAGTTAAAACTAAGAATCAATTGCTTGCCTCTATGACTAGTTTAAAGTTTGAGTATATCGATCTCAAAAAACTCAATAGTGAACTACAGGCGAAAACCAAGCAATTGTTGCAGAAAATTCAGCAACTTGAAACCTGCAATTTAGCACTAAAGTCTGAAAATATAAAACGGAAAATTCTTGGTAAAGAAAAGGCGTGTGATCAACCCAAGCATGAACATAAAGTCAATAAACTCAAAAACGACTTAAGCTTGGAAAAAGAAAAATCTTGGAGAATGAATCTTGAATTGTCTAGGATAAAAACCGATCTAGAAAGAGCAAATAAATGGACAAGATCATCCATGATAGTCACACATCTGGGTAACAATACTCGAAACATCAAGGCTGGAATAGGTTTTGAGAAATCTCAAAACAACGAAATTCCTCTATTTTACAGTCTCTGTGGTAAAACTGGTCACTTCAAATCTAATTGTCAAAGAACCAGAACTAACACACACCTAAGGAACAATCACCTTCTAAACAAAACATGACTTCCAAACTGGATAAACAAAGATCTTATTCATCCTTTTGATCAAAACAAAGGACCCAAGTTGATCTGGGTTCCTAAAACTAACCTTTAATTCTTTTTCAGGAAGAAGTGAGAGAAAGCAAGCAACATTGGTACATGGATAGTGCTTGCTCAAGACATATGACCGGAGACAAAGCAATGTTTCTCTCACTTGAAGAAGGAAAATGTGGAATGGTAGCATTTGGTGGTGGAAAAAAGGGACAAATTAAAGGCATTGGTAAGATTGGAAGATCTGATGAGCACTCACTCGAAAAGGTGTACTACATGGAAGGACTGAAACACAATCTGCTTAGTATATCCCAACTATGCGACAAAGGAAACAAGGTAATTTTCCTATCCACTGGTGTTAAAGTAATCAATCTAATCACAAAAAAGGTAGTCTTAAACTGGAAAAAGGGACAAACATGTCTACACTGTAGACACTTCAATCACATCTGATGAGAACCTAGTATGTATAAGTGTGTTGGATAAAGATCCTCTACTTTGGCATAAACGACTAGGTCATGCTAGTCAAGTACAACTAAATAATCTCATCACTAAGGACTTAGTAATAGGACTACCTAAAACAAAGTTCAAAGAAGAAAAGATGTGTGAAACCTGCACTCTAGGGAAACAAATAAAATCATTATTTAAATCAAAACAGGTGATAAGCTCAACCAGGTCCTTAGAACTAATACACATGGATTTATGTGGACCAATGAGAGTCAAAAATAGGGGAGGGAAAAGATATGTGTTCGTATTATTTGATGACTATACTAGGTTTACTTAGACACTATTCCTGACATCAAAAGAGGATGCATTTGAAACATTCTGCTAGCTAATAAGAAAGCTTCAAAAGCAATTTGATAAACCATTAATGGCAATCAGATCTGATCATGGAACATAATTTGAAAACTCAAAGTTTGCCCAATATTGTGATGTCTATGGAGCCGACCATAATTTCTCGGCCCCTAGAACCCCTCAACAAAATGGTGTGGTTGGAAGGAAAAACAGAACCTTGC